TCACAACTATTCTCGACCTAGACCCAGATAACACTAGCCAATAATCAGAGGTAGCATAGAAGCTGAAATATGTATACAGCTTTAACCTATACACTAAGAGCTTCTGGTCTACCCAACAAATAAGAAGCATGGAACCTATCAGGTTTTTTGATGCCAAACCTTACTTTCTTCCTAGATGTCAAAGGGTTAGTTACCTGCTTCCATTCCTACTGATATTTTCTACTTGCTTTTTCTTCTTTCTCTGGTTTTGGGTAAAATAAGTGAATAAATGAATTAATTAACTATCACCCTTTCTATCCCACCTTCCCCAAATCAAAGCAAGCACATGTCTTATTTCAAATTTTTCAAATGTACAGTATTTATCACTATTACAAATATCATAGTAGTTTGTAAAAATCATTACTATCATCATTTATCATCAGCAAAAGAGGAATTGGAAAACCTCTTGACTCCTAAGGTCATGGTAACTAAAAAAACAAAAGAGGGGCCAGCAGATGGTGTAGAGGTTATGTTGCTGGACTCCCACATAGCTGACTGCGTTTCAAGTCCCATATCAGATGGCTTGAAAAACATGCTAGGTGCATGTGCATGCATGCCCAAGATCCCAGGAGGAGAATGGAGAAGGGATTGTGGTGTGGCCATCCCTGAAATGGGTGATTTCTCACTTTCCCTCTTGCTGTCTCTGTCTCCCTGTCTCTCCAGAAAGTGCATGTGCACTAAGGCAAAAACCTCTTAAAAATAAAAAGGAAACAATGAACCACTTTCAGGGAAACTCAGAAGTAGTTACTCCAGTCTAAGTTTTAAATTTGCAAATACTATTGGAATGCTTAGATAACTTGTGGTTCATCTTATATATAAATTTGTTATATTCGTATATTAATTTCTCAGGAAGAGTTTGTTGGTTGAGACATATAAAGTAAATACTTATAGGAAACAACATATAAAATTTATTAACACAGTTTGAAATGTTTGAAGGTATTTAATTTAGCCAGGTTTAATAAATGCTGCCAAATGTTTTTCAAAGTCTCTTTCTGAGTGATTATTAATATCTGTTTACACTTAGCTGGATAAATAGAAAAACAGTTATACACTTAGCTGGATAAATAGAAAAGCCTAATAAGATCTATATATTTTAAATAATAGCCTTAAAAAATTGAATGCCATTGTTCACAATGGCTAAGACATGGTACCAACCCAAATGTCCACAGATGAATAGACTGAAAAAGTGTGACATATACACACTATAGACTACTATTCAGCCATAAAAAATAAGCCCCTGGCATTTGCTAGAAAGTGGATGGATATGGAAGAGTTACTGCTTAGCAAAGCAAGTGAGACTAGGAAAGAGAGGCACTGGATGTCTCCACTCAATATATACCTATATATATCAATATATAAATGCCAATATATTTCTATGGCAGAAACTGAAAGAAGCATGGAGAGTAATTGTGGATACTAGAGACAGTATGGAAGGAGGGTGGAAAATGGGAGAGGGTTAGAGGAAAGAACTCAAGGAGAAAAAGAAAGAAGAAAAACATTTAAAGGATACAAAAATGGAAAATTATCTGTCGATGATCACATGTATGATAATATCTTTAACTGAACTAATATATAGTATATTCATGCTGGGAAAATTCCTTTTGCATGCTGCAATAACATACAGTAATTGTATAAAAATAATTAAAATATATATAAAAAATGCAGTGCATACACAGTGATGTAATTAATAAAAGACAAGTTTATTTTAAATGTTAAAAAAAAGGAAATAAAACCATATGTTCAATGTTAAAAAAAAAAAAAGTGAATGTCAGTTTTTTAAAACCAAAAATAAATTCATAGTCTTTGAATAGTCTCTCCTGGAAGCAAAACCATTCTTCAAGACAACAAAAAATACCTATCGGCGGCAATATCGGCAGCAATTATTATCATTTACTACTATATGTGATTCATTCTCTTAGGCTTATGATTTTTAAAAATTAGCAGACTAGCCCTGTAGCCTAATGGTTAGGGGAGCTGGTCTCAAATGGCCAACTGTGGTTCAAATCCCAACCCTGGTGGCTTAAAAAACATGCCAGGTATGTGCCTCAAATCCCAATAGGAAAGAGATTATGACAGTAAGCACACCCAGTTATATCCATTTTTGTTTTTTAAAAATGGATAAATCCAGAGGATATAATACTAAGTAAAATAATTCATTCATTAAAAGACAAATACCAGGGGTCATCAGGTGTTATAGTGGTAAAGAAGCTAGACTCTCGGGGACCAGCAGTTAGAGTAATGGCTATGTCGCTGGACTCCCACGTAGTCGACCTCGGTTCGCGTCCTGGACCCGGTGGCTTACACTCACACGTCTGTGCGTGTGTGCCCAAGATCCCGAGAGGAGAATGGAGGAGAAGGGATTGAGGCGTGGCCATCCCCCCTGGGGGGTGATTTCTCACATTCTATCTCTCTGTCTCTCTCTGTCTGTCTCGTGTACACACACGCCCTATAGCAAAAACAACAACAACAACAAAAAAAAAACCTCTCCAAAAAAATAAAAAGAAGCTAGACTCCCAACTGGCTGACTGCTATTCAAGTCCCAGACCGACAGCTTGGAAAATATGTGTCCATGCTCAAAGTCCTCAAGGAAAAGGGATTGAAATATGGCCAGATTGAAATATGGGCATTTCTCTAGGGAGTGATTCCTCACTTTCCTCCTCACTGTCTCTCTTTGCCTCTCTCTGGTGAGCACACACATCCTACGGCAAAAAGCTTAAAAAAAAAGAAAGACAAATACCATGTATTCTCATCCATTAGTGGAAGCTAAAATTCTAATCACATAAAATTGGAGAGTAAAATGTGGATACCAGAAGCTATAAAGGGGAGACAAAAAGGGATAATGAAAACTTGTTTAACAGGTACAAGAATGAATGGATAAACAGAATGAATTCTAGAGTATTTTAACACAGTAGAGTAACTACAATTGGCAACAATCAAAATAGCTAGAAGAGGGGCCAGCAGTTAGTTAATGGCTATGTCGCTGAACTCCCACGTAGTCTACTGTGGTTTGAGTCCTGGGTCTGGTGGCTTAAACTCATGCCAGGTGCATGTGCATGCATGCCCAAGATCCCGAGAGGATGATAGAGAAGTGATTGCAGCGTGGCCATCCCCACTGCGGGGTGATTTCTCGCTTTCTGTCTCTCTGTCTCTCTCTGTCTTTCTGGTGAGTGCATGTGCCCTATAGCAAACAAACAAACAAACAAACAAACAAAAACTCTCGAAAAAACAATAGCTAGAAGAGAGAATGTTAAACATTCATAACACAAAGTAATGATAAATGTATGAGATGGTGGATGTCAATTGCCCTGATTTGAACAATGAGGGGACTCCAGAAAGTTTGTGAAAATAATGAAATTAAAGCATGAGTTTACTTTGGTGCAAAATAATTTTGAAATTTACACATAGTTTTTTCATAATATACATTTTCCATGAACTTTTTGAAGAATGTGTATTCACGCATTGAAAAACCACACTGTACCCCATGAATATGTACTATTAGGTCATCAGGAATATCATGAAGTGTTGTTTTTTATGCAAAAATGCATGACCTAATATTATACGTCAATTTAAAAAGTATAAGGGGCCGGCAGGTGGCATGGTGCTTACGGAAGCAGGACTCTCACACGGCCGACTGAGGTCCGAGTCCCAGACCTGGCAGCTTGCTTTCTCACTTTCCCTCTCTCTCGCTCTCTCTTGCTCTCTGGCCAAAATAAATAAATAAATGAAGTTAAATAAAGTAATTCTTTTTAAAAAAGTATAATAAACATTTTTTTCCATAAAAATCCAATTCCTTTTTACAGCTTGAAATGTGTCAACAGTGAATGGGATCATTTAAAAACCACAACACTTTAAGCACTGGTAATTTCTGAGTTCCTTCCTGCCTTTCTGCTTTCCTGAAGAGAAAGTTAGTAAAAAGTCTTTAGGCCTTGCTAAAGTCAACAGATGATACATAAACAAGATAGTTGTTTCACTATTCTATTTGCAAAAGGTCAAGGGGTGACAGGAAAATAGAATTCTATTGAGGTCAGAATTTTATTTTGATCAGAATTTTATTGTGGGAAAATCAGTTGACTATTTAATTCAGTGAAATATTTATGAGAATAAAAAGTACTTTTTCAATTTTTTTTTTTTTTTTTTTTTTACTAGTTTGCTATAGTGTGCATGCACTTGCCAGTGAGAGAGAGAGAAAGAGAAAAGTTATGTCCAGGAAAGAGATAGCCACACAATCCCTTTTCCTCCATTCGCCTCTGAGGATACCGAACAAACGCCTGGCATATTTTTCAAGCTGTCAGGTGTGGGACTTCAACTGCACAGTTGGTCATGTGGAATTCAGTCAGCTTAGACACTATGCCACTGCCTGGCCTACTTTTCCAATTTTTTGAACTATCAATTGTCTCAATATTTTTAAAAAACTACAGAGAATATTACAGAAAAAACAGAAATGTTAAATATTCTGTTCATTTTTCTCCATCCTTGCAGGTAAGGCTTACTCTGAAATTGGTGTGTATCTTTCTTCTCTGTATTTTTACACTTTTTAATGTAAGTATGAAGGAAGGAGTAAAAAATAATATATTATGCTGCTTATTGGATTTAACATTTTATACAAGTGGCATCATTTGTCTGTTTTTGATTTTCTTGCTGCTGAGGTCTTATCTAAAAAGTCTTTGCCCAGTACAATATCATGAAGAATTTCTCCTATATTTTCTTGTAGTAATTTCATAGTTAGGGGTTTTACATTTCAGTTATTAATCCACTGTGTTGATTTTTATGTATGTTGAAAGCTAAGGGTCTAGTTTCAATCCTCTGCATATGGATATATATTTTTTCCAGAACTCTGTTGAAGAAATGAGATTGTCCTTTCCCCAATTTGTGTTCTTGAGATTTTTGTCAAAAATCACTTTTTGTAAATACATGAATTCATTTGTGGTTTTCTATTCTGTTCCATTACTTTAAGTGTCTGTTTTAATGCCAAGGCCCTGCTATTTTGGTTACTATAGTTTTTTTTTCTTTTTTTGGAGAGGTTTTCGCTATAGGGCGCGTGCACTCGCCAGAAAGACAGAGAGAGACAGAGAGATAGAAAGCGAGAAATCACCCCCCCAGGGGGTTTGGCCACGCCGCAATCCTTTCTCCTCCATTCTCCTCTCAGGATCTTGGGCACACACACACACGCGCCAGTGTGTTTAAGCTGCCGGGTCCGGGACTCAAACTGCGGTGGACTATGTGGGAGTCCAGCGACATAGCCATTAGGCTAACTGCTGGTCCCAAGTTTTGTAGTATATTTTAGCCAGGCACAGAAAGACAAATATTGCATGATTTCCCTTGCCATGTAATTGAAAGTTTATCTTAGAAAGTAGAGAATAGTGTTTTGTTACAGTCTCACTAATGTAGCAGTTAAGTAAAAAACAGAATATCAAACTAGTTTCATAGCCCTGTGGCAATTCCAAACTGCTCATGATTTTTTTTTGGAAGTTTTTTTGCTATAGGGTGCGTGCCCACGCCAGAGAGACAGAGAGAGACAGAGAGACAGAAAGCAAGAAATCACCCCCCAGGGGGGATGGCCACGCTACAATCCCTTCTCCTCCATTCTCCTCTTAGGAGCTTGGGCACGCATGCACATGTGCTGGTGTTAGTTTAAGTCACCGGGTCTAGGGCTTGAACCGCGGTCGACTATGTGGGAGTCCAGTGACATAGCCATTACGCTAACTGCTGGTCCCCAATTGCTCATGATTTTTAAAAAATAAATCAGAGATCAATTTTAATGAAAGTTCAGTAAAAGAGAAAACCTGTCAAATAAATAACCTTTTTGCTATAGACTCAATGTTTCTGTACCCCTTAAAATTCATGTTAAAATCCTACCCCTAGAGTGAAATCATAAATTTAATCAATTGCTTATAATTTTAAAATAAGTAAAATAAAGTGCACCTTAAAAAATGATATATTCTAGGATCATGTTAATGTTATCTTTTTTTTTTTTTTGGAGGGATTTTTTCACTATAGGGCGTGTGCGCTCGCCAGACAGACAGAGAGAGACATAGAGACAGAAAGCGAGAAATCACCCCCCAGGGGGGATGGTCACGCCGCAATCCCTTCTCCTCCATTCTCCTCTTGGGATCCTGGGCACGCACGCACACGCGCCCGGCGTGAGTTTTAAGCCACCGGGTCCGGGACGCGAACCGCGGTCGACTACGTGGGAGTCCAGCGACATAGCCATTACGCTAACTGCTGGTTCCCGATGTTAATGTTATCTTGACAGTAAAAAAATATCACCCCTAGGAAAGTGCTCATGATTTTTAAAAATACATACTGATTTGGTTCATTGGTAATTCATTTGGGAGTCTGCATCCATTCCATGAACTGAATATTAAATGTAAGAGCTCTGCCTCAGGAGGCATTTGAACAGCATTCAAATCCTAAACCTGCTATTTATTACTGTGTGACTTCAACCATTTTCTTATCTACAAAATACCTCTTAAAATTGTTGTTATTTCTAAATAAAATAGTATAGTGTACTAAAAACGTTCAATAACTGGGGGCGAGGCTAAAAAGCTATATATTTAAGTCAGTACTTTTTATAAACCTTGAATACAGACTATCAATTAAATTTATATTATCATTTTAGCCAAGACTTAAATTCAGTGAGAAAGGAGAATATGGTTACCTGGAAAGGCAGGCTTTAGTTACAGCACTGTGAAGATTTTCATTAGGATACCGTGACAGTCGACGAGAAATCCGTAACAATTGTCTGGTAGAAAGTGATGCTGCCAATGACTGCGCCTATCGTGTGGCAAAGACAGCCTGTTAAGAATCTTGTTTCGACTTGCTAAAGTTCCTTTAGATAGCTATCATAGCAGAATTCAGTATTTCTAAAGGGCAGGGCCAAACTTAAAATAAAAACGTGCTGTTAATGAATTACGAATTAAAAATAAACAGAAAGCAATTTACATTCAAAACATCCTCAAAGATAGCTTTTTAAAAAATCTATAGAAAGTACTTATCAATGAAATGCAATTAAAGTATTAAAGTACATACGGCACTGTGCCAAGCGTCGTATGTACGTGTTGGAGGTGGGCAGGTTGGATGAAGGAAGGATGTTACATAATACAGCTACATCTGACATACAAATAGCCCTTAGGTACAATTTATTTGTTTGGGTTATTTTTTTTCTGCTCATATAAAGCTGATCTGCTAAGATATCCTGAAAATGTTTCGAGCTTTAAGCAAATCTGTCACTTTTGAAAGAGAGAAAAGGAGTTTAGGGCAATTCAGACCATGCTCCACAGAGGTGTCAACCAGTTTTTCACTTAGGTGGTAACTTACTGTTTGGAATCATTCCCCTACGCTGTCAAAATAATTTCACTTTGCTTGCTTACGTTCTCCTAAATTCCACTAACAGAGTAACTAGTATAGAATTTAGAAAATGGTAGATACTCAACAAATAACTGAGTTGACATTAACTTGAAATTCTCTTGGCAAATCTTATAAGTTTTGGAGTTTGACTGCCTTCCCATTTATTAGGAGTGTGACCCTGGCAAATTATTGAGCCTCTCTAAGTCTCAGTTTCCTCATCTTTAAAAGGCAAGAATAATGCTCTCGCCTTTAAAGTTATGATAAGGCTTAAATTAGAAAATGACTCTCAGGTCAGATACATATAGGTGATCAAAAAATAGGAGTAATTATTATTAAAACACTTGTCCTATATATTAGTATAAATTTAATGAACCAGATTATTACTGGCCTAATTTCTAATTTAGATAACAGTACAAGGAGAGAGGAGTTTTCACTGAAAACCAGAAAAGAGAAGCACATTTGAAACAATTGGATCTTTAGGAGGGCTGAGCAGGCCAGAGTGAAATGTCACAGGGTGGCAAGGGAGTAAAGTGAGTCTGAGCAACTGACAGAGATGAAATTTAATAAGGGATGGGCTAGTCCAGTGCCGTGGTTAGGGCAGCTGGATCCCACATGGCCTACTTTGCGATTTGAGTCCTGGACTGCGGGCTTGAGAAACATACTGGGCATGTGTGCATGAGTGTCCAAAATCTTTTAAAAAATTTTTTGTAGATATTTTTGCCGTATTTGGCATGTGTGCTCTCAAGGGAAGGAGAGAGACAAGACAGTGAGAGGGGAAGAGAGAAATTACTCCCCCAGGGGATGGCCATGTCACAATCCCTTCTCTTCTAGTCTCCTCCAGGGAACTTGGGCATGCATGCACACACGCCTGGCATGGGTTTCAAGCTACCTGGACTTGAACTGTGGTTGGTCATGGGGGAGCCCAGTGATGCAACTACTATACCGTCTGCTGACCCCAAGTACCCAAAATCTTGAAAGGAGAGGTGAAGGAAGGATTGCAGTGTGACCGCCCTCCATAGGGGATGCTTTCTCACTCTCCCTCTCTCCCTCTGTCTCTCTCTCCAGTTATTGCACACATCCTCTAGCAAAAAAAAAAAAAAGAGAGAGAGAGAGAGAGAGAAATTAATTAATGAGAGGGTCAGAATGAGTAATAGGAGGATGCCGGAGCACATTTCCTTATTTTAAAGATTTACCTAAGGTCATCTATGTACATCCCCAAAAAGAAAAAACAATGAATTGCTATCTCCTCCCTTGTTTATTTAAGAGCTCCGTGTTAGACGTTGGTCTGTATTATATTTCAGCTACAACATAGGTTAAACAGTACACTGAAGAACAAGGTTGGGAACATGACCACCATTTATGACATAATCATTATTTCTATTAAAAATAATACATTCTCAGTTGCAAAAAAACTCATCTTACAGGCAAACATTTGGTCCATCCTTGTTTTCAATAAACTTTCATTCTACACAGAGATAATATTTAAGAAACCATAAATTACATTTCAAAATATATAATTTAATGCTAAACTAAGCAGAGCTGCTGACAACTGCTACAGGGCCTTAAAATGTCCATGTGGGCAGGTGAAGAGCTATGATCAAGGCATGAAAGTAAAAGGGACAGAAATACATGCAGAATGTGAAGAAATCAGCCCAGTTTTACTAAAGGATCCTGCTGGAAGGCTTGATCTCAAATAACAAAGACCTGTGAAAGACACTCCAAGGAGTTTGGTCTCATTTTTAAAGGCAATGGGACTTTGTTATGTGCAAAGAAGTAACATCATTTTAGAAAGATTAATCTGGTAGTAGTACGAAAAGTGGTTGAAGAACAGAGAGACCTAAGACAGGAAACCTACATTAAGCTACCTATGAAAATATAAAGCACTATAAGAAGATTTACAACATACTATAGGGGTTACAACAATAAGACAGGATACAACAAACGTTTGCAAAGACTTGTCAATTGAGTGGATAGGAGAAAGAAGGAAGTGCTAAAGATGAGATTTAGCTAGTATTACCGAAAGTATCAGAAGTTAAATATGACTCAGAACTTCTCATCTTAATACCTGGGAGCATAAAAAATTCCTATTTCGATCATGGAAAATACTTGACAAATGTCTCCAAACAGAGGATTTCAACAGTCTTATTAAACCAAAAAGTCACTTTCTAGGGCACCACATTCTAATCTCATTCAAAGCATCACACTGAATTCAGGCTGCACATTTCACTCCAGCAATCAGGAAGGATTTCTCATGAACTGAAGAACATCAACTCTCCGCTGACAGTACCAAAAGGTTTTGCAATAAGAAAAAAAATCAGAACTAAGCTTTATAACAAACCATTTAAGTATTGAATAAAAAGTGCTATAATTTCCACTCTCACATCATTATGAATTAAAAATTAAGAGTGCACTTTAATTTTAAAATAACTGATGTATTTTCACATTTATAGTACAAAATTTCTAACTGCAATTTGATCTTGCAAAAAAGAGGATGAGGATGTGAAGTATATTCCCTAACTTACCATGGATAAGATTATACCTCAAAGCATTTTTCATATTAGCATGATCATTATGATCTTAGCTTATATATGTAAAGGTTGTCATCAAAAATAATTTTTAATAATTTTTCTCTTCTTCCTTTAAAAAATAAATTCTTTCATGAAAGCGTAACATGTTCTCAAAGAGTGAAAACTCTAGGAATAATCTGTTACTAAATTAATAATCAATTGATTTATGTATTCCTTTGTCAAAGATTTAAGTGTCTACTATGTGCCAGGCACCCAACTGAGAAATAGAATCAAAAGCATGAACAAGACCTAGCCTCAAGAAGTTCAATACTGGGCCCGACAGGTAGCATGATAGTTAATAGTGCTGGACTTCCACATGGCCAACAATGGTTCGAATATTGGACCTGGCAGCTTGCTTTCTCACTCTCTCTTGCTCTCTTTCTCTCTGTTCCTCTTTGGTCAAATTAAAAATAAAAAAGGTTAAATAAAAATATTCTTTTTTTTTTTTTTTAAAAAAAAGGAGTTCAAATACTAATTGGTAAAATAAAAATTATCTTTAGGGCCAGCTGGTAGTGTGGTAGCTAAGGTGGCTGGATCCCACTTGTCAAATTCACGTTTGAAATCCTGACTTGGTGGGCTTGAAAAACAGAGTGGGCGATGTACCTGCATGCCCAAAATCCTGAGAGGAGAAATGGAGGAGAAGGAATTGAAATGCGGCCATCCCTACCTGCAGGGGATGCTTTAGTTCTCTCTTTCTCTGTCATTCTCTGGTAAGCATACTTGCCCTGTAGCAATAAGTCTAAACAAATAAAAACTGTAGTACAACTCTAGTAGGACAATATCAAAAGTAGACAAGGGGTCTTTAAACATTTCATGGAATGGGGACAGCAGATGGCATAATGATTACATCATTTGACTTCCACATAGTTGACCATGGTTCGAGTCCTCGACCTGGTGGCTTCAAATTCACACTGGGCATGTGTGCATGTGTGTCCAAAATCCCAAGAGGAGGATGGAGGAGAAGGGACTGTGTAGTAAGAGGAGGATGGAGAAGGGTCTGTGTAGTGCCCATCTCCCCTGGGGGTGATTTTTTGCTTTCTATTTCTCTCTCTGGTGTGTGCACATACCCTACAGCAAAAAATCTCAAAATTTTTTTCATAGAAAATGTATATTATAAAAAAAAACACGTGGATTTAAAAACATTTTTGCATAAAGATAAACTCGTACTTTGACTCCATTTTCCACAAACCTCTTAAAAATCTCTTTGAATACTGAATGTCATGAAACCAGATTGCAGACCGTGGTTACTTCTGCCTAAGGGGACTAAGAGAGACCTGACAAGGCAGGAAGACTGTGAGGCAGGACAGGGGAAAGCACACTGTAGGCATTATCTATGGCAGAGACATCTGAGAACATGCCGACGCTTAGAAAGCAGCAAGTGGAGTCAAGGATACTTCAGGAAAGATGTAGGAGATGAGGCTGGAAAAAGCAGCTTAGGGTTAGAAGGACCTTGACAGGCATGCTTACAGATTGTCTTCAATCTACAGGCAAAGAGATTCAAGCCCTTAACAGTTTTAAAGAGGAGGAAGAACTTAGAAAAATGATTTGAAAAAGTTCACTCCAGGGGCAATACAGAAGATCAACTCATTCACTTAACAAATATTTGTTAAATACCTACTATGTAGCAGGCAAAGTCCCAGATGCTGGGGAGACCACAGAGACCAAACAAAAATCCTTGTCATCCCCAACTAAAATCTGAGTGACAATAAGAAATAAATGAGTAGAACACATATTATGTCTAAGCTTAATAGGCCTTAGGAAGAACATTAAAGCATACAGAGGGATAGGAAAGAAATGGGGAGGAAATTTGATTCTAATGAGAGTGTTTCAGAAAGGGCTTATTGGAAAGGTTAACACCTGAGCAAATCCAAAATGTGCGAGGGTGTAAACATGCAGTTTTACCGGGAAGAGAAACCTAGGCATGGCAAGAGTGCTGGGCAGGCCCTTGTGTGTTCATGGAATAACAAAGAGAATGGGAGAGCCGAAAAGAATGAGTAAGAGGGAAAACAGTTTAGATGACCTAGGGCAGCTGGTCCTGCTCCCTCTCAAATATCTACACTCCAATCTCTAGAACTTGTCAATGTTACTTACATTCTATGGCAAAGTTGATTTTGTAGATAAAATTAAATTAAGAATTTGAGATGGAAAGATGATACTGAATTATTTGGGTGGATCCTAAATGTTATCTGTATATTCTTTTTTTTTTTTCCTTTGGAGAGGTTTTTTTGATATAGGGCACATGCACTCTCCAGAAAGAGAGAGACAGAGAGACAGAAAGTGAGAAATCATCCCCCCCCCCGGAAAAATGGCCATGCCACAATCCCTTCTCCTCCATTTTCCTCCCAGGATCTTGGGCACTCACACATGTACCCGGTGTGAGTTTAAGCCACCAGGTCCAGGACTCGAACTACGGTCGACTACATGGGAGTCTAGTGACATGGCCATTATGTCATCTGCTGGTCCCAAATCTGTATATTCTTTTAAGAAGGAAAGAGAAGATTTGGCACAGACACGCAGAAGACAGGGTGAGGTGAAGATGGAGGCAAGGATGGATGTGATGAGGCCACAAGTCAGGAAATGCTGCCAGACAACAAACACTGGAAGAGATTCTCAGCATTTATGGGAGTGGAGCCCTTCTGACACTTTGATTTTGGCTCACTGATGATTTTGAAATTCTGCTGTCCAGACAGTAAAAAATAGATTTCTGTTGTCTTAAGTAACCAATTTATGGTAATTAATTACAACAGCCACAGGAAACTAATGAAGAACCGTATGATGAATTAATCATTAGTGAAAAGGGCAGTCATGAGGAAATAATAACACTGGAGGAGAAAGATTATGAACTTTAATACTAGGACAACTATTGACAATAGAGAACAGATGAGAGATCAAGATGCTAAATTGTGAGATTTACTTTTAGATTAAGTGAAGACAGCAGGAAAAACCAAAAATCAACAATGATGTCAAGGTCTCTCAGTGATTTGGTAGGTAGACAGTAACAAAATCAGGAAATTAAGTCAGAAATAGGAATAAATTTAAAGAGGAAAGATAGTATAGTTGGGTAAGATATGTAAGATATGTTATATTTACAATGACCTCAGAATATACAGAAACCAACATTTATCAAGCAGCTACTAAGGAAGAGATTATTTACACACATTTTCATTTAACCACTATGACCTTTTTATGAGGTAGATGACTCTCCTCCCATTTTACAGATGCGAACACTGAAACATAGAGTTAGCTAGTGGTAGCTCTTTATCTTTCCAACATGCTATTCCAGAATGGAAACACTGTTAGAGAATCCACAAGAAAAGGGAAGTTAGATGCTGAAGCTAGAAATATAGCAGAATTAACTAAGAAGTGGTACTTGAAGCTGAACAAACATGGACACTGCTCGGCTTAAGAGACAGAGAACACAGCAGCACTGCCATCGACTCCAAGCACTTTGCTGCAGCTGAACGTTGTTTCTGTGACATGAGCTATGAAGAACTAGAAAAAATATTAAAATCACTGATATCAGAATAATACATACATAGGACAAAGCACCTTACAGGGGATAAAAACACCAGTTTTAAAAAGAAAACATGTTAAAGCATTAAACTCTTCAGAAAATAAAGCAGGAACATCTGAACAGTAGAACACCTGGTGGGAAAAGCCTAGACTTACTGTTGGATCCTGTGTCTCTCTGAGTTTGTGCGTAAGTGATAATAATTTGTTCAAAGATTCCTGAGGCATATTTGGGACCTGTTTTATGAGGAGAAACAGAAAGAATAAATTACCAAAGGTGATCAATAAATAAGAAATTATGACTATTTAGAACTACGTCTTTGTTTTTCTGTATTTTAATTTCTTTTAAACATTCAATCACTATACATCACTATAGCTTGTAAAGGGAATTTACCCAACATGATTACACTCCACCCAAGTCCACATGAAGATACTATACATGTTATCATCAACAGACAATCCTCCATTTCGGTGTCCCATAAATGTCTTGCCTCTCTATGTTTCTCCTTGATTCCTTTTCATCACACTCTCCCCCTTGTCCCACCTCTTCCTATACTGTCTTCAGTATCCTTAACCATTTTTCATGCTTCTGTACCCTCTAATCTTTCCATTTCCACCATAGAGTGAGGACAGCTGGTATATACTAAGTGGAGATATACAGTGTCTCTCTTTCATAGCTTGGCTTGCTTCACTCAGCAGTAAATCTTCCATATTCATCCACTTTATATCAAAAATCAGGGCCTTGTTGTGTTTTATGACTGAGTAGTATTCCATAGAGTGAATACATAGGAAACTCAAGCTCAACCGGAAAAAAAGAAAAAAGATCAATCCAATTAAAAAATGAAAAAATGAGCTAAACAAACAATTCTCTAAGACATATGAACATCCAAAAAGCATATGAAAAAATGTTCAACATCCTTCATCATAAGGGAGATGCAAATCAAAACCCTAAGGAGAGACCACCTAACCCCTAATAGATACTTGAGGGAAATTCACCCAATATCTGGAAATTAGAAAGTAGTAGATTTGACATTTACAGTCAACTCTAAAGCCTATGCTCTTAACCACAACCATGTATACAACAAAATCAAAAATTGATCAGTTTATTCTGGTATTTCTAGGGTGATGAGTGCTTTTATATAAAAAGTTAATAACTCGTGACTTAGAACAGCACTGTCCAATAGACTCTTCTATGATGAAAGAAATGTTCCTTATGCTATCCAGTCAGAATGGCTAAGATTTTAAAAATTTGGATAAAGTTGCTTATTGAACTTCTCACGAATCCCTGAAGTCCCTATTTTCACAATAAGAATCAGGTAAGTAAACTAAACAACTTCTCTATATACAATTTTATCACGAGGATAAAACCAAAAAGCCTCTAACTGAATTAAAAATTGGCATATAGTAAACCTAGAAAGAACCTTTCCTATATTACCACTTTCCATTTTTGTTAGCGTTGGCATGATTTTTAAATACTATTTTAGACATTTTCTTACTGAAACCAAATTCTGTTATTTAATAGATATCTTACGTATACGTTCACTAAATAACAAAATGTATCTTAGTGTGAAGAATGAGTACTCAAGGTGCCCATTTTACAAGGACTTGTAAAATAGAACTTGAGGGAAATGATCAGCATAGCAATAAAAACTCCAAAGAGAATTGCTCAAATAACACACATGGATTGCTTTAAATTATAAAAAAAACTCTAACCTAGTTAAATACTTAAACTATAAGCAGTAACAAGTTTAAAGATTTAATTTTAAATGGTTATAAAGAGACATTAGAAAAAGAACTAGTATAATATGACTATTTCAAAAGTACACTGTTCACGACTCCTTTGGTCATTTAAATAACTAATTTTTTAAACTTCTAAGTTCTATTTTGTACCTGCTTTATATCATTTACATTTTAAATCAATCCTACACAGCCACCATGGCACAAGTGGTAGGGTACCACAGTGCAAGCTTGGGGCTGCACAGGGACCTGGGTTCAGTTCCCAGGGCAACCTAAACAGGCAGATGCAATGGCACTAATTAGGAGGCTAGGGCAAGTGGACCATGACATGGCAAGACCCTGTCAAAATGTTTATGCCTCTTTCCTCCCTTTTTAATTCCTTCCCTCCCTCCTTCTCTCATTAAATCATGAAAATATTACCCTCATTTTCAGATGAAGAAACTATGTTGGAGTAATTCCAATATCTGGAAGTTAGAAAGTAGTAGATCTGGCATTTATAGACAACTCTAAAGCCTGTGCCCTTATCCACAATCATGTACACAACAAAACCGAAAATTATTCAGTTCATTCTGGTATTTCAAGGGTGATGAGTGCTTTTATATAAAAAGTTAATAACTAGTAACCTAGAACAGCACTGTCCAATAGACTCTTCTAGGATGATAGAAATCTTCCTTATGCTATCCAATACAGCAGTCAAAAGTTCCTCACGTGGGCCCTTAAGCACGTGAAATATGACAGAGAAACTGAATTAAAAAAAATTTTTTAGGGAATCAGCTGATGGCGTAATGGCTACGTAGCTGAATTCCCATGTACTCAAGTGCAGTTCAAGTCCTAGATCCGGTGGCTTAAACACATGCCAGGTACATGTGCATGTGTGCCCAGGATCCTGAGAGGAGAAAGGAGGAGAAGGAACTGCAGCATGGCTATCCCCCTTGGGGGTTAATTTCTTGCTTTCTCACTTTCTGTCTCTGTCTTTCTGGTGAGTGCATCTGCCCTATAGCAAAACAAACAAACAAACAAACAAACAAAAACCTCTAAAAAAACCCCCCAATTATTTAGCATGGCTAGTGTTACCACATTCAATAGTGCAGTTCTAGAATGCTAAAAAAGGGGGGAGGGGCCAGCAGGTGGCGTGGTGGATAAGGGTGCTGGACTCCCACATGGCCGACCACGGCTCGAGTCTTGGACCTGGTGGCTTTGTTTCTTTCCCTCTCTCACTCTCTCTCTGTCTTTCTGGTCAAATTGAAAAATAAGATGAATGAATAAATTTTAAAAATTAAATAAATAATTCTTTTTTAAAAGGGGGGAGGGGCAAATATAATGCTTAGTTAAGGAAGACACTGAATACTGAATAATGAATCATGAACACACTAGAACTCACCCAATAATCAGGTAAATGTAGAATAAGTTACAATTCTGAAGGGCTAAGAATACTTAGCATTTTCTATCAGATCTAAGAAATGATCATATATTTTGCCTGTGTTTACAGGAGAACTTAAAATAATCATGTACTGGTCACAAATATTATACAATATCAGCTTATAAAACCCCAACCCTGGCACAAACCATTGCTTTTGATATGTTGACTGGATACAAAAGAAAAAAGAATTCCAAAACTGCCTCCACGTGAGGAAAGAGGAGAGACGAACTACATCTCTGGTTCTCAGAGGGTGGTCCTCAGACCAGCAACACCAGTATCATCTGAGGACGTTAGAAATGAAAATTTTCATATACCATCCCAGATCCACTGACTAAACAACTGTGGACATGGAGTCCAGAAATCTGTGTTTTTCCAATCCCTCCAGATGGTTCTGAAAATTGCTAAAGTTTGAGAACCACTAATTTACCCCATTACATGAGGAAATTTAAAAGTAAGGGAGGAGAAAAAGCTAAAACTGTCCAACACTGCTCCAACATGTATCAGAGTACATTAAAAAGAGAACAGTTGTAGAAAACAGGCGAGTGTGGTCTCACTCTTACCATTTCCTTAATCACTTGGATTTCTTCACTTTTGACAAGTGGTTTCATATAATGGAAAAAGAACATGGTTAAGAATTCTGGTCCCAGCCACTGCTGTGTTGTGCTTCCAATAACAGGGGGTTCTGCCAAAGCAATGATTCTGAAAGATGGATGGATAGGAAAAATGGATCTAAAAAGGGGAAAAAAAAAACAAATCAGAAAATATAACCTTCCATGTTCAAAATTCGGTTATGATAGCTGAAGCCCAGGTACTGATGAGTCTATCACACTGTTAATAAAGTCAAAGCTATTATGCAAAGAATGAGCTTTAAGAAAAAATTAGGACATTCTAAGACTCTTAAGATTAAAAAAGAAAATAATCACCTACTGGTTATAATATCGGCTTATGAAACTCCAGCCCTGGCACAAACCATTGCCTTTGATACGTTATTATGCCTACAGTAAGTTTTCTCAATAGTCCCTTGAAATAAAGTCCTATCCAGTTCATATTCATTATATATAGCTCTTCATTTATTTAAAACCCCTTCAAAATTTTGTCTTATAAAAACCTACTCTATGTCAATCAAGAAAGACCAAGAAGTATGATTTAGAATGAAGAGATTTTATACAAATCAGAAAATTTAAGCAGCATATGGGGTTAGATTATATTTAAAATTTAGGTTGACAATAAGAATACTTAAATATTGGGGACAGTAGGTGGGGAGGTGACTCCTACATGGTTGACCATGGTTTAAGCCCTAGATCCAGAGGCTTGAAAAATCACACATGGCATGTGTGCATGGGTACCCAAAATCCTTAGAGGAGACTAGACAAAAGGGATTATGGCTTGATTATTTCCTCTGGGGGTAGATTTCTCACTTTCCCTCTTTCTATCTCTCTTTCCAGCGAGCATACAATGCCCTATAGCAAAAACCTTAAAAGAAAGGAAAGAAAAAAAGAATACATAAATGTTAAAATAGTAAATTGAAACTTTGATTCACTCTTTTGTCATTTTTTATATAAAATGTTAAAAAGTTTAAAGTGATCTATTTTAAAAATCTCTGTTAAGAAAGTTGAGGAAAAACGTAAATATTCTAGGATACAGAGATAAATCAGATTAGATTTCCTATGGTCTATGAAATGAATTGTTTTTAAAGGAAGGACTAGAAACCTCTTATGATCTAATCATGTGGGTCATATTGTCAGTTTTTATCACTTCTACTCAAAAAACTGCAGAAATAGGCTTTTAGAGGGTAATTCAGCTCTTGGTAACAGAAAGGAGAGCTAAAACTCACACTTGCCAAGATCTTCAGAAAATTAGAAACATAGGTAGATAGTTAGCATTTCACCAATAACTACTATAATACAATCCAACAGTTTCGTAATCACTTAGCTATAACACCAGAAGCAGGACATGGGTACGGAGAATCAGATGGTAACTAAGAAGAGTCTGGATAAGAGAAAATCCCATCAATATAATGGGGGTGTCCACTGAATTCCTGACTGCATGATCTGGAATTTTAGAGCTTACATCGTGAATTGTAAGCCAGTAAAGAGCAACTTTTAGAAATGGCCGTATGCAGGCCTAGATGAATTCATAAAAGCTACCAGATTTCATTTCATTCCTTTAAGTAGGAGGAGAGAAAAGAAAACTTATTTACAGATGTTTCAGCTGGGAGCTGTTTTGGAAAAAGAGGGAAGGATAACAACACAGACTGTGCCTGGAAACCCTGAGGAGTGCACTGTCACTCAGGATTGCTAGTAATTAGTCACATGGCAGAAACTGGACACAAAGATCCCGTGATGGGAAAGCTAAAGAAGGAGGTTATTCCTTTGTCTACATCTACTAACTAATTTGCTATAATTGTGAAAATTCTCCCTCAAGGCCTGGCAGCAGATGTTAAATTCATCCTTGATTCTCCTCTCTAATTCGTGGGGCAAAAGACGATAGGAAAGGCAGAGCCTGGTTTAGCTGCACAAAAATAAAGCTACAGGTATAGTTTTTTTAACTTAAAATGGTGAGGGATACCAAATCATGGAATAAATAAAGTCAAATTCCAGGCCAGCAGGTGCTATGGTCGTTAAGGCACGAGATTCCCACAGGGTCTACCACAGATTAAGTCTTGAACCTGGTAGATTGCTTTCTCATTTCCCTTTCTCTCTCTCTCGCTCTCTCTCTCATGAGTGTACATGTCCTATAGCAAATTTTAAAATAATAACAATAAATAAAGTTAAATAAATAATTCTTTAAAAAATAAATGAAGTCAAAATCCAAAGGCAAGCCAAAAATGGAAGTCCAATTCACAACCTTAAACCTGTAGGTTAGGAAGCAGGTATCTCAGCTGAGATATAAAATGAGCTGGAATTAGAAGAGCAACTAATAAGAGCAAGGTAGGTGGTTTAAGTTTTTAAAAGGTGATGGTCATTACCTGGAACATGTACTGTCTATGGCTTGCCTTTTCATATTGACTCTAGCTGCATACCGGAGTGTTTTATGCCAAAATTGAAGGGGACAGTTTCTGAGAGAGCTGATGTGTTAGGCAAAGAAGTGTATTCTTACTAAAAACACAGCCACTAAACTTCCTGAATAACAGGAAAAGAAGGGCATTTTTGTTTCCTAGGTTCTCCTCAAAGGTTTCCTTACATACAAATAAGTCATATGGAAAGTCACTTCCTGATGATGATAAATTCCTCAAATCCAAAAGTTAGGGAGCAGAGGATCTACCATGTTGGGTGATGATGAACTGGCGAGTAATTCAAAGGCTGAAGAAGAGATTCATAACTGAAAAGAAAATAGTACTACTAAAATTTTAAATCAAGGCTAGGTTTAATTTGACTAGAATTGACCAAAAACAACAAATGAAAGATATAGCTTAGCTTCAGATAAATACATAATATTTCCTAAACACTAAAAAGTAAAAAGACCTCTTTAAAAGATTTCTAAAGATTTTAAAAATAAAAATATTGGGGTCAGTATATTTGTGGACATAAGAGTATAGTTTTAGAGAGTACTTTCTTTTTTCTTTTTTTTTAAAAAAAATTTGCCAGAAAGCACTTTCCAATGTTTCTCAGAAATAAAAAGGAATGAACTAGCAATACATGTAGCAACATGAATGATCCCAAAATAACTAAGCTAGGTGAAAGAAGGCAAATGATGAAGAGTACACATTGCGTGATTCCATTTATCTCAAATTCTAGAAGATACAAGCTATCTACAGTGACCAAAAGCAGATCTCTGACAGTAAGAGAGAGTGAAAAGGGCAAGAAGAAGGCCTTATGAAGGTGTATAGGAACACTTTAGGGATTGAGATGCAGTCATTATGTTCATTGTGAGGATGATTTCACAGATACGTATAAATATCAAGAATTAACAAACTGTACACAACTCTACACAAAATGTAAGACATCAATTACACCTCAACCGGGCTTTTGATAAAATGAACAAACAGTTTGATAGACTCCAATCTTGAAGGTATAAATAAACAATACATTTTTGTTGAACTTGTATATTAAGAAACTTGAGAGGGTGATACAGATTTCTATAAAAACATCATTCATAAGTGAGAAAAGGATTTTGTAATTGGGCCTTCATATTAAAACATTAGTTGGGAACCAGCAGTTAGCGTAATGGCTATGTCACTGGACTCCCACATAGTCGACCGCAGTTCACGTCCTGGACCCGGTGGCTTAAAACTCACGCTGGGCGCATGTGCATGTGTGCCCAAGATCCCGAGAGGAGAATGGAGGAGAAGGGATTGTGGCGTGACCATCCCCCCTGGGGGGAGATTTCTTGCTTTCTGTCTCTATGTCTCTCTCTGTCTGTCTGGCGAGCGCATGCGCCCTATAGTGAAAAACCTCTCAAAAAATAAATAAATAAAATAAAACACTAGTGAACACAGAACCTAGAGTTACACAGTTTCATATGCCGTTATCTCCTTTTTCTATATAGCGTAGCAAAGTGCATGGACACATGGCTTAAACATATTTAGAGCACACGAGGCCTAGGGTTATAGTTGGAAGAGAGTAGATGCGAAATAAATAAATGTGTATTGCTATTGTCAATGACCATCACTGCAAGAAAAACTTTGAAGACCTTTGATGACAAAAACAAAGGTAAGTGATAGCTAAAAAAAATAATGGTCTCCCACCACAAAGCTAATCTATTTATGGTCTTGAATAAACTTATGAGAGGAGGTGTATTTTCTGTATCAAAAAAACAAACCCAAAATATAGAATTAGTAATTTTATTACTTCACAGGCACAGGTTTAAAACAGTTCCTGGGCCATGAAAATGTTTGGGATTATTTTCAAAATCAGAATTTCCTCACGGCTTTGGGTTTTGAAAATCAAACACAAAGACCTTGGTGTAAAATCCTGGATCTATCTTGAATTTTGTTAAAAATACACATAGCCTAATTTGCTAGTAAAGAGATGCTGAGGTTTCTGGAAGGTAGAAGAGAATGCGCAGATCTTATCTTCAAAAAAAAAATGGATAACAGTAAAAGAGCAATAAAGACTAAGAGATTATAAACTGTTTCGATGAAAAATAGCAACAAATAAAAATGAAATATTCAATAAAAATTCAAAAACATTGAAGTATATACAACTAAGACTAAGCCACTAATCTTTATTGTTTCCTGTGATAACCAGAAGTCCTTTCTTGGCAAAACAGTTAAAAACGCACAGAAACTCCTCATCTATGACCTGACCAACAGCAGGAAGGAACACACTTAGCAGCCTATAGTATTTGTACTCCCCCTTTTCCCCAGAAACGTTTTTCTCATCATAAAAAGTTCTATTTTTGTCTTCACTTCCTGCAAGAAATGCAGGCATGGTTTCAGCTGTGTATGTGTAGCTGTCGAACTATTTCTAACTATCACGTCCACAACATGCTTGGTGTGCTGCAAGAAGAGAAGACTCCAACATTTTTAAGGACATGTGAAGCATGTGATTACCTGAAAAGAACATAAGAGCCTGCAGAGCACTCTGGAAATGATATAAAGTGTATGATCTTGGTAAAGAATTAGTATACAATGAAGGTCAGGGAAGAGTCAAATACGATTGTTTAGAAGCTGGGTTCCACACTATGAAGCTGAAATGGCTGGTAGCCCACTGCTAAACGCTGTTAATTTTAAGAACCTGAACTTTCAGACACGTCATTAGAAGACATCAAAGTATTCCTGATTAGTA